GGGGGGGGGGGGGGGGGGGGGGGGGTTAATCAGACAGGATGATGATGCGAGACAGCAAAAGCAGATGTTGCGGTGTGACGGGAGCTGAATGTGTGCAGGAGAGGGGAGAAAAGTGGGTTTTAAGGCTGACTGCTACAAGGGAAACTTTGCTGATATATGAGATGTATGAGACGGCATTGCTAGGTATGCGGAGGAAGGAGAATGAAGAGTCAGCCGGACAAAAGTACTGCCTCATACAAGTCATTATGAGGGAGACACAAGAAGTGAACCAAAAATATCACCTATTCTACGAATGACGCAATTCGCTTCCTTGCCTGAAAACCACGTGTCACCGCCGACGTCAGGATGTCAGTGCTTTAGAAACGCATGACAGCCCAAATGGTGGAGAACGAAGAGCCTGATGAAAACCACAGTCTGTAAGCACAAGATCCCAGACCCACTTCCATGTCCCAAAACAATTTCCTCTGATTTGCCTCCTCAATCTCCAGGGGCCACGGTGAGATAAGATCGTCTCAACGTTCAGAGATGGCATGAACCTCTGGCCGCTGTTACTCAGCAACCTCCCAGTGTCTGCATAAAGAGAAACCGATGAAGAGTCTAATACGGTAATATTCAGTAATGCCTTACTGAGATTCCCACAATCAACTTAAAGTTGAAGAACTGGAGTAACCGACAATGCTGAGGATAACCCGTCTAAGGTGGTTGTCCAAGCCTCCAGTCCCCCATCAGCATTTGGCTTTTCACTGGGAATGCAAGTGGTATGGTTAAGTATCATGGGAGGAAATCCAAGTACCACGAACACACACACACACACACACGAACACGAACACACACACACACGAACACACACACACACACACACCTCCCCTGCATACAGAGCTGAATATGACCCCATACTAGGATGTGTACATCTGCAAAACCACCACACCCTTAACCGTTTTGCAAATATCTCAAAACTATGTACAACTGAGGCACGCCAAGACTCGCCAACTTCATAATCATCCGTTCAGATGTTTTGCGATGCTGAAACACTCACACAGACAATTCCGTCTTAGTCAGTGAAAAAAAAAAATTATATATATAAAAGGAGGACATGATGCAAGAGAATTCCCATGAAAAACAGGAAATCGACACATAGTATTTACAGAACAGACGGAAAAACGGCGTCCAGTCGTGAGCCCTCGTTTTAGACGGACGGAAGGTGATTCTCCTAAACCAAGGTGACGGGGGGCACAGTTTCCTGCTACCCTATCAACCCCTGACATGGCCCAGACTTCCCTGCATGGGCTGTTATCTGTCTTCCTGAGAAGGCGCTTAAAATGAGAGAACTAAACAGCCCCTGCTGACAGGCTGCTTCCTGTTGGAGTGGCAACACCCATCGAGTGTTGGTGAGCCGCACTGGCGCTGCCAGCCGCAAACACTCATCACGGGCAGCCCAACACAGTCATCACACACGTCTATATTGGGATACCAGCATGGGCACCACACTGATCCCCCCCACTCAGATTTCACCAAGTGCAATTCCCCAAAACGATATTCAGGTTAGTCACCATCACCTAGGCAACCAAAGGAAAATGTAGCACGTGCATCTCAAACAGAATTGCGCCTGCTTTACATGCTTACAAAAACAGTCATCCTCTGAAATCATCAGGGAGCTGTACTGGTCATCTATGGAGTGATTCTACATGCTTTACAAGTATCTCATATCTTCTAGCTTCAGCATTAAGATCAACTGCCCAATTATCTTCTTCAAGGTCAATGCATTGGACTTTTAAACAATATTCCCATATTGTAATATTTCCACTCAAGGTTCCTCCACACTCGATCCCATTTTACAAAAAAAGAACAAAGAAATAAACATGTTTGCATGATGGCGCAACACTAACTTAAAATCATACATCTGGAGGCTGCATTGTATATACATCAGGGAACAAAAGCGATTGTACTATTGCTTACCGACCCAAAATTAGTGTAGACTGCTACAGTAACCATGGGAAACAAGACATTACAGCATCTCTGGGTAATTCCCCATCAACAGTACAAAGGAACAACCGCAGGATTCAGATCAGCCGAGACAAGGTGACCTGCAACTGAACACAGACATACCTCGAGAAAGCCAACATCGTCATGCAACACTGAACATTTAAGTACTAACCTCCTTAAATCCTATACTGCTACATAGTGACTGCAATATTAAAACCATCTTTAAATAGGAAGTCACCGCTTATGTCAAACAAAGGAACAATAGTACAATGGAAAGCTGCCCACACAGAACAGTGTTAACTCAGTGACCCATCAATATTTATGACAACAGATCATATGAGATGGAAGGCCTAGACAAATCGCAAAGCCTCCCAATACAAATTTGACAGTCTTACTGATTCCTTAGTGCACACTTATTTAGTAGGTAAAAACCCAAAAACACACCTAGCCCCCCCCCAGAATTTACCAACTGTATAAGATCCATGGCAAAACACTGCATTTTTTTTTTTTTGTAAAAGCACCATCTAGTCAAAAAGGGCCTGTAAAGGTTGAAGTCGGGCATGGGTGGGTGGGGAAGAATCGGATCCTCTCAGAGGACGACGACAATGAGGGCTTTTCATGGGCCACGGGCTTTCGAACCGTTTATCCGCCTTGCAAGCCGCATGCGCTGCTCCCCGGACCGGCTCCGAGAACAGCGCTATCCTTTCACGGAGTTCTCTCTCCTGACCGTTTGGCCCGAATGAGGCACCAGGAAAAAAAAAAAAAAGGAAAAGTGAAATCATGCTAATTCTATTTCTGAAGCTCTGCCATCTCAGGCTGACTGCACGCGCCTGGTCACAACACAAATAGTCGGCTCTACGCTGAAATCACAAACAACGAGTACATTCAGGAGGATCGAAGCGGTTAACGGTTCAAAAAATTAGCTAAAAACAAGCCTCCCAGTGTTTAGTCCACTACACGACCGGTGCACAGAATCATCCATCGTGCCGCTTACTCAAAACACCATTAGGTCTGACGATCGACGATGTACCACAGACGCTAAATAGAGTTTCCCCAGAGGTCACACCCTGCCAAACTCACATACATCATGAGCATCATCACCATCAGCAGCAACTAAACGTCATTTCTATTCACTTCAGCCAGGTTTGGGAATGGCGGAAGTGTTTCTTTGCTTTCAGAATCATATTCCTTACCTCAACACAGACCACAGGCCTCCTACAAGTCAATCGCAAGACCTCACATGCCAATCATGACATCAAGGCCATTTGACACATGCCCTGATTAGTCTTCCAGTGGAAGACCACGGGTCAGTGCATCTTCTGGACTTCCCACGCAAGCAGCCTGAGAGCTTACCTGAGCTTAACACGCAAGGATCTAACACCCCCCATAAAAGCCTCTTAACCACACAACTTGGTGACATTTACACAGGTTGCTAATTCAGTGCAAGATCTGAAGTTGTAAAGAACAGAAACCCCCAAAACTCCCACACAGTGCAATCAAGTTCTAGCTAGACAGCCTGGGAAGTGATGGAGCAGAGACAGAAAAAGCGAACTGCGACGAGAAAAGAGGTGAAGACAAGTTCAGACCACAGTCCCATGATTTAATCACATGAGCCCCTTAACAAGCAACCTGCACTGGGGGGAAAAACACACACACACAGATAAATTGAAAGAGTGTTTCTTGGGTAGTTCTATAGATCTTTTTAGGAATTTTAAAAAGAAACTAGTTTCGAAGAGGGAAAAAACTCGTTTATACTTCAGCTTCAAGTCGTAGGCTACAATAAGTAGGGGTCGATAAATATTACATTCCATTTAGAAGAGGACCTAAAGCGGTGCATCTGCACGGTCTGTTTCCTCTGAGATGTGAGAACACGGTGTCTTCAACACATCGCTTCAATAAACGCCACGTTATAACAGTCAGAGTGACTAGAAAGCCCAGGGGCCCCTGCTAAACTTTCCCACGCGTAAACCGATAGTCTTAGCTAACGGAGTGGCCGAGTAACCGGCCCGGAAAGGCTCAAAGTGCCCATATCGGATTAACGAGAAACAAAACAGCCTCCGAAGCAAGGGCGCCCATGTGCTGGAGAGCCGAAGTGCAGAAAACTCAATGAATCCCCCACCAATTCAACTGCCTCGCATAGCTAACCAGCTAGCTAGCTAAATTATTACCGGAAACATTACCTTCAGTTACACGTAATAAATAGGCTATCCCCAGATTAAGGCGTTTATTCTCAATTACTGTGGAAAAAAGTCAAGTCGCTTTAAGAATTAGACGGTTAACCGTTTTTAAGTTAGGGACCGGAACGTACCAAGAACTGCTGTAACTAAGGACGACCAGTCAAGTTCAACTCTCTGACAAACTGCTCGAGTACTAGTTATTTAAACTCGTCACCCAGATTGTTAGTCTTGTAAGAGTTCGGCAAATCTCACCGTTGATCCTCGTCCGAGTAGTCCGTCGCGGCGCCCTACTTTCTCGGCCGTCGTAGAAAATGTGATCCCATGAGAAAGCTATTAGTTACTTAGTTAGCGATGACTCAGTGAGGGGCTGTAACACTGTAACAAGCTCCGCGCCCTCGCGGTTAACGCGTGCCACCGACCGGCGCGCGCCGCTCCCAGCCGCGCGGAGATGCCGGCTTTTATTCCTAATTATAATTACGATTCTTTGCTGACGGTTACGTGTACAACCGGCGTGCCGGAGCTCCCCCTCAGAGTCCCGAGGTGTGGTTCCAAAGTTTTCAATCAGGAAATTGTTAGGTCTTAAAAATGCTCTTTTTTTCTGAGCCAATTTTCTAAAGCAAAGCCGGCTAGCGCCCCCAACGGACGGAAAAAAATATCATGGCGCAGAAAAGCCGTGATTTCTTCATAGCGGATTTCAAACCCTGCGTTGATCATTATGATTATCTGGCATCCTCATCATTTGAAAAATTAGACAAGACAATGCTGCAGAATAACCTTGAAACCATATCGTGCGTTAAGTCCGTTACTTTATATTAATTTACCGAGTGATTTACATAGTGATTGGTTCCATGTGTGTTTAATGTTATACATATAATGAGAATAATACTATATCAGCTTTGATTATACCAAACCTAGTAAACCCATATTTAGTCAATATAGGCAAAAAGACTGAATTGAAATACACGTGTCTCGGTATCAGAATAAAATTATGTAATTTTCCAGAATTTTCAATGTGCATTTCCATTTATGTGCATGCTGTTAGGCAAGGAATTCACGTTATTTTTATGTGATGGGGATAAGCGAAGATGTATGTCGGCGTGACCGGCAGAGGGTGTGGCCGAATTGCGTCTAGCGCCCGGTTTGGGAAGAGCGCGTGGGATACGGTGTACTCGCAGGGGCGACCGCGGCACTTGCACAGCTATTGCCAAGCAGTCAAACAAAGGCGTCTTTTTTTTAAGGGTCAAGCCATAGCTACAAAAGAAGAACTGTTCTTGTCGCCACAGGGATAAAAATGGTAAACTCTCTGCTTAGAATTTCCTTATTTTACTGGCGCAAATTGTCTTGTATGTCTGACACATGTGAATGTTGATTAGCGCATTTTAATGGACCTGTTTACCAAATTATGATTTGGCTGCGTATCATAATTTGTGATTTGACTACATTTATTTATATTTGTGAAATGATGTTTGCCTGAATATATAATCCAAGTTATTTATCTGATATTTCATATTATAGGCTAGGCAGGATTTTAGATCTGTTATTTTTTTATGTTGTAGATGATTGTATATTTGCTACCTATAAGTATTGTCCTTATGATTACAAATGATTTGCTGTTTGAGGAATCGTCGTGGATTATTTGATAAATCGTCTACATAAAATGCTTTGTCATGTAAAGATCCCTTTTAGTTGAACGTCGAATAGCTTATCTATATATAGGAATGATCTGCATTGCATGGCCCACTTTCTAAATTCGGCGTTGTGGTTTACGTATAAGTAGGTCTGATGTACTGTAGGATGGAAAGATCTGTGCCTGAAACGACACGAATTTTTTGCATCAACAGTAATATGCGCATAAGANGGTCGCCGGCTACCGGCGAATATCACCGTCAGTTATTGGGGTGGGGGCTGGGGAGAAGCGGGGGTTGCCCATTGGTGGTGATGGAGAAAACCAATGCTAATTGTAAATGCATGGAATATTAACGCGACCCGCAGGCCTAAGGCGTTTTACCTAGAGACTATATAAGCCAGACTAGAAAACCTTTAGTATCCAAAATCCTGACTCAAATTTCAACGATTAGGATACGGGAAAACTAGTATTTAAAACAAAACGTTTTATTTCTGATTACGAAATTAAGCAAAAACGCTTTTTGGTGAATTAACGATTCGATTGAACTATTGAGTGATAATATCGTACATGTGTATTCGAATTTAAAGTAAAAATTAAGCAGGTATAAATACCATAGAACAACCACTGGTCCTAGAAAAGGACAAAAGAGACAGAAATGATTTAATGAGCAAAATTCTTCGGGGAATAGATTTTATTTTAAAATCCATTGAATCAGACAAACCCGTCCATATATCCGTTTGCAATTAATGCTACACCAAAAATATGAAAATTGTGTAGTTAATGCTTTCCCTTGAATTTCGTCATTATATTTGTCTGTATTTCTGCCACATTGTAATTATTTGGGATCTTAGGAACTAAGAATACAAAACATGCTAGCATTGACACAAAAGAATAATTATAAAATGTATCTTAATTTCAAAGTTAAAATTAAAGTTATGTAACACATTTGAGCAAAGTATTTCAGCTGTGCCATGATGCATACAGTGATATTTTAAAAGAAAGCTTTATTCGTAATGTATGAATTTCATGTTTCCTTTCTATTTAGGTTAAAGTGCTGGAAGATGCAAACAACCAGTATGACTCCTTCCTGTTCTGGAGGCAGCCAATCCCAGAACTGGATCTGTCAGAGCTAGAGGGCCTTGGCTTGATTGACAGCTCATCAATGAAGGATAGCAAGCTTGGCAAGAAGGGCTCTCAGAAGAAGGTCCAGGAGTGGGAGGAGGACGAGGAGGCGGAGCTTTCCGAGTACAACAGCTTTAACTACTGGCGGGAGCCAATCGCCAGCATCGATTTGCTGGACTTCAACCTGCTGCTGTGAGGCTGCCCCCACCCCCCTAATCACAGTTCTGCCATGTGCACACACCAGGTTTTAAAGCCGCTGTGAGGCTTCTAGGCCACCCATCAAAACTATCAGTATTATTTGAAATGTGTTTGTATCAGCACGTGATTATATGTACCAGTTTCTGTAATGTGTAGATATGGCTTATGGATTGTACAGAACACTGAATATGCCAGTTATTATGCTATAATGCGATACTAAAATGGCCTAAGTAATGCCATACCAAGCCACTGGTGCGTCCTCTTTGAGCATTAAGCAACAGAACAGCTCGGTAGATCATTCTTGGTAAATATAAATTGTGAGTCGGGCAGATGGAGCAATTTTACTTATTTATTTATGACGTGTATATAAAGGTTGGTCCAGCCAAATTGTGAGCCCAACCTAAGCCTTATGGAGAGGCCTTCAAATGGAAGAGAGGGGGCCAGTTCTATTGCTGTTAAACCAGGATAACTTAGACAGGACACTACAGAAAATTTCTTAACGTGACCCGTCAGATTGTTTTTTTTTTTTTTATTAGAAGCCAAAAATGTGACAGCCCGGAATGTGTTTCATGTAAACTGCATTTTGCTGCAAGACACTGATCATTTAAATGTAGTATTAGCATTTGATGCATAGCAAGGCCTAATGTTTTGCATACCATATGACTACCCCATTACTTCTCTGGTTGCTTACGATACACAAAAATAAAGTGACACAGTCATCTAGATGTAAACTTTTTTTTGGGTTGAAAGTCCATTGAATAAAAAATGAACAAACACATTTTTGATCGTCACATTCTATATGCCTTTCGGTGTACTGAAGTAATGTAGAATGTCCTAGCCGTGTGCTCTTGATTTGGTTATATGTAATTTAAAAACTCAAAACACGGAAGTGAAAATGGCATATGAATGAATTACCAAGGACTACAAGGTTTTAAATGATAGCCAGAAAGGCCTACATTAAAGAACACTGTGACATGACATGGCCATTACTGTATTCAGTCCATTTTCAGTTTGTCTTTCTTTCGACAAACCCTAAGTTGTATGAAATACCCAGCTTCATATGCTTATTCCCAACACATAATACACCATTGATTTTTAAAGAATACAAGTATATTTGTTAAAGAAGCAGATGTCTGCAGCAGTATTATGGTTCATATAAAACAAAAGAACTTGACTTTATGTATGCAGGCTTAAAGAGCAGACCCCACATAGTTAAATGGCAACAGAAATAGGAAGTTGGCAAAATTTGCATACAATATTGACATACTTATGTTGGTTTTTGTTCCCTATTGCAAAATCCATGTTGAGTGGTTTGTTTGCACTGAACAAGTTACTTTGGTAGGTTTATTTGTACTGAGCCAGGTAAACTTTTTATGCGGTTTGATGAGCTTAGTGACTTTGCTTAGTGAAAACAAAAATGGACCTGTACCAAAAACATTTGACAATTGTAAGAATGGTATCACAGAATCTTAAAGGCCTGAAGTCACATGTGCATTTTTTTCATACCAGTATGTTATTATTCCTTCTTCATAGAACAATTAAGGTGTATCAGCATTTCATAGAAGATACCTTATCAACAGGATTTATTGAGGTTTATCAGACAGAAACCAGCACACTAAACAGATTTAAATATTGGTTCCTTATTATGTAATGTACAATCAGCATGCAGTATATTTCAGGCACCAATACTCCAAGACTCTACGGGGGTAACAATGAACGACGTGGATATACTCAAGACGTACGATTGTTTAGAAACAAGAAAAGGCAATGCAACATATTTATTAGAAGAATTGAAACAGGGCAGTGGTGCTGCTGCCGGGGGAGCACCGTCACTATCTATCCGCCCAAAAAAAGGGGCGCTCGCGTCACTTTCCACTTCCGGTGTCTCCGCGCCGCCATCTTTGTACCGCCGTTGAAATACAATAATAAATATTTATTTTTTAAAAAAGTTGTGAAAGGAAAATACAGAAAGTCTGATTTAAAGCGTTACATGTAATTCCAGCGACCTTTCCTCCGCCGACAAGCCAAGGTACGTACCAGGAAAAACACCACGCAATTAATCGGACTTTTTTTTGTTAAATTACCCGTTAAGCTGGGTTAGTAATATGTTGCATTTAAATATCTTGCTAGCTGGCGACAGAGTGGTAACTACCCACAGTTACTCGCGTCGATACTGAATTTAAAACGGACTGCTCCGGATAACTACTCCAGGTAATATTGGGGCAAAACTAACCAAAACACTCCGAATAGTAGTTGGTAGTCGTTAAGTAGAAAGTAAATAAAAATATATATATATATATATATCGTGAGCTGAAATAAGCTTTGTCACTACCTGCACCGTGGCCCGTTTGCAGAACTCCGACGGGTTTTACGGGCAGCTGCTAAAGTCTTACATGTAAAAAAAGGAGCCGCGCTGCGAAGTTGAAAAGTTGCGCGAAAGGCTTTTGTCGGCGGCGTGGGGCTCTTTACCGACCGGATGTGGAAGTGGTTTTTTCTCTTCGCGTTTAAATTACAATTTCAGATCCGACTTCCCCCGGAACATCGGCGGCTAAATATTAAAACGGTTTCCTGTGCATGCGGGTGCTTAAACTGGATCGATCAAAGTGTGGTTTAGAGGGATAAAACGACGTGGAGCGGCCGGCTTTCGGCGGCTTTTTTGTTCTGCCCCGAGCTCCGGTAGATCGGCGCTAAAGATGGCTGCTGGCCCGCCGGGGCTCAGGCTGCGCGGCTCTTTGGACAAAGATGTTTCGGTCCTTGCTAGCAAAACCACGGGCTCATTAGCTGTGTACTGTTTACGTGGCTCTTTCATATATTAATTAAGAATAGTCGGTTTGTAGCTTGTTAGTCCGATCGTGACGGAAAAACAGCTTGCCGTGACTTGGTTGCCCTGTTTCAGAAGGGGGGGGGGTTCGTACAAAGTAT